CAAATATGATCTTTTTAGCATATAACCAATATGCACCATTTTTAACACGATATATTATGTTCCCTTTTGCATAACCAAGCCTTCCAAATTCGGCGTGTGTTTTCCCCTTTTACAGCATGTCTTTGAATCAAGGTTCAGACACTAAATTTTCATGGCGCTACTTGACCTGCCTTTAGATTTCATAAAATGGACAGTTGAAAGAGGAGATTCACCCACCCAAGTTGTTCCAGGCCCATATAAACGTTTTCCAATCACTGAATATAGAGTATGAGTTTTTTTAGTTTACGTGTAAATTAATTATCATTATGGCCAGGTGTGGTGGCTCATGACTTATAATCCCAGCAATTTGGGAGGCTGAGGCAGGAGGATCACTTGAGGCCAGGAGCTTGAGCTGGGCAATGTAGCAAGACCCTATATCTACAAAAACTTAAACAATTAGCTGAGTATGGTGGTGCATGCCTGTGCTCCTGGCTCCTTAAGAAGCAGAGGCATGAGTATCACTCGAGCCCAGGAGTTCGAGGCTGCAGTGAGCTGTGGTCGACACCACTGTACCCTGTCTAGCAGGGAGACAGACTGAGACCCCATCTTTAAGAAAAAAAAAAAAGAATTATGATTAAATAACATGAATAATTCAAACAATGAGGCTCCTCAATCCTATTAGCGACATGTCGAGCCTCAGCGGCCACATGGGGTTGGTGGGGGCTCCCATACTGCACGGTGCAGCGCTGGCCTGCACACACCAGCTGCTCCTCTGCTGGGCTCCCAGGAAGGCATGTGCTGCAGTAGAACTGGGAACACTGCTTCCAATGTGCTGTGTGACTTTGGGTAGCTTGCTTGGCCTCTCTGGGCCTTTCTTTTCCCAGCTGTCAAAACCCTTCCACTCAAAGAAAGCAGAGTCCCTACGACTCACCGGGCTTGTTCTAGGCTCTTGCACAACAAGGGAGCACGCGGTGGCCTTCCCCACAGAGCTTTGTTCCACGCTGGGGGTGGGGGTGGGGGGTGGTAACCATGACAACGATGGCAACTTACTAACATTTATAGAGCCCTTTCTACGTGCCAGGCACTGTTTGTTGGGAGCCCTTGACATTGGCCAACTCCTTTTACCATGAAGATACTCCAGTATCTTTATGAGGAAGGTGCTGGCATTTGTGTCTCCCATGGGGAAACTGAGTCACACAGAGCAGTTAAGAGACTTGGCTGAGGTCACCCAGCTAGGCAGGGGCAGTGGTGGGGCTTGGGCCCAGGCTGTCTGGCTGTAGCGCGAGTGCTTGCGTCACCTCCTTCTGCGACAGGCGGAGCACCCCTAAATCTGAAAATCCAGGCTGCTCCCCAAATCTGAAACTTTCTGAGCACCGACACGAAGCCACCAGTGGAAAATTCCACCCCTAAGTCTTTAACACGAACTTTATTTCGCGTGCAAAATTATTAAAAACACTGTGTGAAAGTGCGTGTGCGTGTAAGATGCACACGGAACACAAATGAATTTCATGTTCAGACTCGGGCCCGTCTGCAAGATGGCTCATGGCGCACGTATGCAAACAGCCCCGACTAAAACAAGCCCAAAGCTGAACACTTCTGGGCCCCAGCGGGCCTGCCCCCCATGACTGCGGAGTGGCCGTGATGGCGCAGAGAAAAGAAACCGGCAGGAAAAGGGGGGCGGGGGCGGGGGGGGCCGTGTTATTTTAGCTGAAGGAGCAAGAGACCCCCTTTTCCTCCGGGCTGCCCAGACCCTCCCCACGGCCCCCCCAGACCCAGCCCATGACCCCCAGACCCTCCCCACGCCCCCCAGACCCTCCCCACGCCCCCCCAGACCCTCCCCACGCCCCCCAGACCCTCCCCACGCCTCCCCAGACCTTCCCCACGCCCCCCCAGACCCTCCCCACGCCCCCCCAGACCCTCCTCACGCCCCGGCAGCTTTGGGAGGGCCCGGCCTGTGTCTGGCTCTGGGACGTCGAGGGGACCCCAGGCAGGGGGGTGGGCCAGAGGCTGGGAACCCGTGTCCTGCAGGGGGGTGGGGCCGCACACCTGAGCCACCACGCCAGCCCAGCCTGCCAGGCCAGCAGCTGCGGGCTGAGCCAGGGCCCTGCTGGGGGGCCGCAGTGACCAGGAGCAGCCACCGTGCACTGAGCACGGCTTCCCCTTCCTGCTGTCTTCTCCCTGCTTTCAGCCCCATCCTTCCTCGCCTGCCCTCTCCTCTCCTTCCTCCCCTTTCCCTCCCGCCCCCTCACTCGCGACTTCCAGCCTGCCATCCACCCGGCATTTGTGGAGGGCCCACTACGTGCCAGACCCACTACGTGCCAGGCCCACTACGTGCCAGGCCTACTATGTGCCAGGCCCACTACGTGCCAGACCCATTACGTGCCAGGCCCACCACATGCCAGGCCTACTACATGCCAGGCCTACTATGTACCAGGCCCACTACATGCCAGACCTACTATGTGCCAGGCCACCACATGCCAGGCCCACTACATGCCAGACCTACTATGTGCAAGGCTCACTACGTGCCAGGCCCACTACACGCCAGGCCCACTACATGCCAGGCCTAATACGTGTCAGGCCCACTATGTGCCAGGCCCACTATGTGCCAGGCCCACTACGTGCCAGGCCCACTATGTGCCAGGCCTACTATGTGCCAGACCCACTACATGCCAGGCCCACTACGTGCCAGGCCCACTACGTGCCAGGCCCACTACGTGCCAGGCCCGTTAAGCTCCGTGAACACTGCGGTGAACACGATGCTCCCGTCCTCAAGGAACCTGTGGCCCCTTTGGACGGAGCCATCCACACGTCTGTCCTGTGAGCCGAGAAGAGAGAGGCGCCCTCAGAGAACGGCAGCGACATGACCCTGGGGAGGTGAGTGCTCTCGCGTGTGGGAGACGCTGGGACTGCGTGAGAAGGCAGACCGCGGGCTGGGGCCCCACTCGCACCCTCTGGCTGCACACGGAGCCGTCTCTGCGCGTCACACACGGTTCGGGGCTGGCGTGGAGCGACACCCCCTTCACGGCCGGGCTGGCTCTTACTTTTTCCTTTCTGCGGTTTCTTTTCTTTTTCTCGTGCATCTTCTGTTCTGCATACAAAGATCGGGGGCCAACTTCCTGGCCCGTCGGTTGCGACATAAGGTGGAACAAGAACAGAGCGTCGTGGGAGCAATTCACTCCGTCGTTCGGTGACGTTTCATCGAGCATCTGCTGCAGGGGCCTCACCCTTTCTAAACAGGGGCCGGCTCGCTGTCCCCCAGAGCGTGGGAGAGCGTGGTGCACGTCCCACACGTGCGCACTGCGGCCCGGACGAGCCGGCTGCTCAGCAGGACAGGCAGCGCCGGCAAAAGCACCCGCGGGCCGCATGTGACCCCGGCCGCAGTTAGGACGCCTGCTCTGCTCTGTTCCATCCACGGGCGGAAGCTCCGCGCTGAGCAAGAGACGGCCTGACCTCGGGGACCGTGAGTCCAGTGCGGGCGGCAGTGTGGACGGAAGCAACGGCTCTTCGGGGTGACGAGTGGGGGGCAGGACGCGTGCGGCGGCCTCACGGACGGCCACGCCCTGCAGACTGTGGGCCATGGAGGGGCAGTGACACGGGGACCGCCAGGGGGGCCCTGAGGCACGGGGGCCGCGGGGTGGAAACCAGAGGGACAGATGATCCAGGCAAAGGGGCCTGCCTGAGCCGTGGCCAAGAGACAGAAGAGTCTAGACTCTGACACACACACGCACACGTGTGCACACACACGCGCCCCAACACACACACACGCGCGCATGCACACATGCACACCCTAACACACACACACCCTAACACACACGCACCAACACACACACACCCCAACGCACACACACACGCGCACACACACACGCACACACGCCGCACCGACACACTGCCTAACACACAACCACACCCCAACACCACAACCCAACACACCACACACACACACCAAACACACACCCCCTAACCAACACACACCCTTGACACACCACACACACACACACCCCAACACACACACACACACACACGCACTTGTGTGCGCATACACGCACGCGTACACGCACACACCCCAACACACACACACCCCAACACACACACACACACCAACACACACACACCCCCCAACACACACACACCCCAACACACACACACCCAAAACACACACACACACGACACACACACACCCCCAACACACACACACCCCAACACACACACACTGACACACACACACCCCAACACACACACACACCCCAACACACACACACACACTGACACGACAACACACCCAAACACACCACACCCAACACACACAACACACCCAACACACACCACCAACACACATACACCTCTAGTACACACACACCCTAACACACACATCCAACACCACACACACGCCCAACATCACACACACACACCGACACACACCCACACCCTAAACCACACACCCCAAAACACACACACACACCCCAACACACACACACACTCACACACACACACCCCAACACACACACACACTAACACATACACACACACACATACACACACACACCCCAATACACACACACCCCCTAATACACACACACCCCAACACACACACACCCTAACACACACACACACACATACACACACACACCCCAATACACATACACACACCAACACACACACACCCTAACACACACGCACACGCGCGTGCACACACACACACACACCCCGTGGCCACAAAGCAGCTCCATCTTGCAGGAGACTGAGTCAGGGGACCCCAAAAGATGGGGGGGGGAGGCCGACGGGGAGGCTGCGGAGGGTCTGCTGAGCTATCCGAGAAGGCTGGACGTGGTTCGAGGACCGATGACGAAGGATTATAAGCCCGAGGGTGACGGCTTTCAGTCGGCGTGCTAGCACGACCGCGGTGGCCACATTCCGAATAACGGAGCAGGGCAGGCTGGGGCCGGAGAGCACAGCCGGAGGCTGTTGCCAGCATCGGGGGAAGCGGCAGCGGCCCGAAATAAGGACCTGGCAGTGGGCACGGGGAGAAGTGGAGGGCCGGGGTCCAGGTCCGGGTGTGAGGCCATGGAGACTAGTTCCCGGAGGAGGGAGGGTCACGGTGGCCTCGGCTCCATGCTCCGAGCGATGGCACGGCTGGAGGGGCCGCTGGGGCGGGAATGAATGCCGGTGGGGGGAGAGCTGGGTGTTTGCTGGAAGGGGCGTTTGGGCTCCTCCTGGCGTCCCATGGTGGGGACATCCGCAAGGCAGGCCGGAGCGTGGAGGCCGAGGAGGGGGAGGCTGCAGATCTGGAACGGGGGTGGAGATGCATCACGGGAGGAACAGAGGACAGGCGTTCGAGGCCGGGCTGGGTGACCGGCCCCAACCCGGGAGGCTCCTGGGCTCTTGTGCCTGCCGCCCGCTCCCTGCTGTGTGAGTTTTGGGCATTCTCGTCTCCTCTCTGGCCTTTGTTTCCCCATCCATGAAGTGCTGGGGTTGGACAGGGTCCGAGATCGCCCACTGCCCCACGGGGCGCCAGGAGTTCCTGGGAAGTCCTCCTCGGCGGGGGCGGGGCGGCCTTGTGTGGCTGTGGCTTGGGACTGCCACTGCCTGGTCTAACGCAGCGGTTCCGCTTCAGTCTGTTTTGTAGTTTGACCTTGTGACTGAGCTCCGATTTGAAGGGAGCGTTCCATGACTCAGGAGTCCGGTGGGGGGCTGACCTCTCATGTGCCATCTGGCAGAACCGAGGGCCACACCCGGCTGGGGGTGTCCCCGACGCTGGAAAGAGGGACGTCCCCATGGGCTGGAGGGAATTAGCAACTACGGGCCTTGTAGCGCTGTTGGGTGCAGGCTCTAGATCTAAAAGGACCTCGTGGCCGTGGCTCCCAGGGGTCAAAGTGGACTTGTCGGAAGGGTTAGTGCCACCGACCCCAGCACTCCGGGGATGACAAATGAGATTCATCTCCGGTTGCACTTGCAACTGATGGTCAAGTTGCCTGAGGCTGCACCAAGAAACGCTCTGAGGCTGGGTCTCCGTGAGGCTAAAGTGCTGTGATCGATTAGTAATGTCTGCTCTGGGCAGCGGATGCACGGTAGTGGTGCGTGCGCCATGCATCTACTTTTATAGCTTTGGTCTAATCTTTGCTTTTTAACAGGGACATGAACTCTCATCCTCTTCATACTGTGTGATCTCTTCTTTCTCCCCTGCTTGCTGCTGAGTGCTGCAAAGGCCGGTCCTGGCCCACTTCCCAGGGGACCAGTCACTTCAGGAAACGAATGGGCTGCTCTCTGGAGGAGGCGAGATCAGTCGATGAGTCCCCATCTCTCCAGAATTAGATGGTTAGTCATGCGGACCAGGGGCAGCAGGGGGGTTCAGGGCTGGAGAGGGAGCACAGAGCTTCTTTGCTGGGGCCCCCGGGTGTGGACCTTGTTCTGAAGACACCCAAGGCCGCCACGTGCAGGTGGCCCTTGACCCCAGCCCTCCTCCCGTGTGCTGCATGCACAGGGCCCTGCCAGCACCAACAGTGGGGGGCAGGCGGGGGTAAGGAAAGGGCACCCCGCCACTTCTCAGCAAACTAGAAACCCACCGCTCTATTTAACATCTTAGAAAAGTCATCTTCATTACACACACATACATCGTGTTTATGGCGGAAACGTTGAAAAATGTGGATAAGCAAAAAAGAAGAAAATAAAAGATACCCGCCATCCCATTTCCTAGAGAGAAGCCCTGTTTCCGCAAGCTGGTGTAGACTTCAGCCGCGTGGGCACCTGGTGCTCAGAATAGACAGTGGCTATAGCCCTGGGGTCGGAGGGGGCTGCTTTGCCCCTGCGGGTAGTCGGTCTAGGGTTCCTGGGGTTGGCCAGGGCAGGTGGGTGAGCCTGCATTTTGTTAACGACTTGAACTTGCACTTTGTGGATGATTGTCAGTGGTGTCTGCCTCCACTCCTGCAAGGGCATAATTAGACACCGGCTGGATGCAGGCCTGGGCCTAGGAATCCTGTTGGTGGTCGGGGTTAGGAGAACCCCGGATTCCTACTTAACATTCCTGTTCGCATTTGAAGCTTTGTGTGCTCGTGGAGGGTGAGTTGGCCCACGTATACCCCTTTGTTTTTTTTTTAATTCCACCTTCCCCGCACCCCCACAGTAGGGACTCAGGGGTTTCCTGGGAGAAAGGAATCTGAGGTGCTGGCCCTCCCCTTCGGGACTCAAGGGGAAAGGTAACCTCAACTTCTGGGCGAGGCTGGCCTCAATCAAGAGTGGGTGGTCAGCAAGGACCACAGGATTGTGGAGCAGACACGTACCGTAAGGAGAGAGAGAGAGAGCGTGGACAGGGGCCAGGGCTCAGGGGGCTGGAGGTGAAGGTTCTTTCTGAGCATGGTTCGAGGCTGGTTCTAGAACCTTCCTGAGGCAGCCATTCCAGCATAGAACCTGCTCAGCTGCAGGGGCCAGTCTGGGGCTTGACTGAACCTCTCTGTTGGCCACCAGAGATGCACAGGGCTTACTTGACGAGTAGTCAAACTTAGTGCGTAAGAGCACAGATTCTAGAACCAGACTGCTTGGGTTTAGGATCCCATGCCTACCACTTATTAGCTGTGTGACTTCGGGCAAGTGACAACGGTTCCGTGCCTCAGTTTTCTCATCTGTGAAGTGGGGGGGGCACACACCCATCTTAGAGGGTCATGAGGATTAAACTAGTTAGCACACATAAAATTATACGTAACTGATGGCTGTAATTGTTTGCTGGTGCACACGTACACCCACATGGGTGGTCTTGAAAATGTAGCATTTAGAAACGGGGACCCTACCCGGGGAACAGCTGGGAATTCTTGTTAATTTGGAAGGTGGGGCCTTGAGCAATTATGTTTTGCAGAAGGGGTTCTCAAACCTGGGGGTGCACCAGAATCGCCTAGAAGGCTTGTTAAGCCACAGATCCCGGGGCCCCCCCGCCCAGCAGGGCTGCAGCGGGACTGGGACTCTGCACGCGCACGTGCTGGGGCCCACAGACCACACTTTGAGCAGCGCCGGGTTTGAATGTCACCAGCAGGCTGCTACCTTTGTTCTCCCGGACCTGAGACCTGTTGCGTGCTGGTCACGCTTCTCTTCTTACTAAAGTGGCATCTTCCCTGGCCGGACTGTAACTGGACTGTACACGTGGCAAGGGCCGGCGCCAGGAGCGACTCACCAGGGACTACCAGCATCTGCCACTTAGTAGGTTTCCTGCAAAAACCGGTCGAAGGGAGGCAAGAAACGCGCTTTTTGCACTCAACAAAGTCCTTGTGTACATTTTTCGTGTTAGTAAGTATTCTGGCACAACACTGCTGGGCGGTTGCATAGTTCTCCCTTGTATGGGTGTCAGCGAGGGGATGGCTGGAGCTTGCTGGAACAGAAAGGAGGGATCTAGTCTGAGGGGGCAGAATGCCTCGGTGGCTGGAACCAGGGTGGAAGGGAGCTGAGACTTCCGGAAGCATCTTTCCCTTTGTCCCCCACCCGCACCTGCCAGGGACTGCTCTGTTCCCTTCCCCTGGCTCTGGGGACTGGTCTGTCCCCGTGACATCCAAGATGGCTGCCTCTACCTCCCAGGTCCCCGAGATGACACTTGCCCTGCGGCCAGTCGGTCTGTCTGCCCCTCACTCCCTCTCCTGGTAACCCCAGCAGGGACTCTGATTGGCTCTTCCTGGGGTCGGTGCTGGTCCCCCACCCAATCAGGGAGAAGGACCACACTCAGCTACGGCTGCCAGGCGCCCCGAGGTGGTGGCGGTTTTGGGGGCGCAGGGTGGCCGTGGGCCATCCCCCAAAACGCTCCATTCCAAGTTACCGTCCGTTCACCTCCCCCTCTCTCCACTGAAACCCGATTTCGGTTTCAATCTGGCGGCCAGCATTTGGGTCCCGTGGCCTTTCTGGGCTCAGAGCAGGGACGGGAGTGACTTGACCCCACCCGCCGTCCGCGAGCGGCGGTGGCATGTGGCAGCGCCGCAGGTTTGCCTCGGGGCGTCTAATCCAGGGAGGCAGCAGGCTTCGCCCGGCCAGGCCCTGCGCAGCACCAGCTAGTCTGCTCAGGATCCGAGATGCAGCTGAAAAAATAAATATAATTAAAAAGATAGCTCGGGCCAGCGTTCCCGGAGCCTGCTCCGCATGGGCGCATAATGAATGCTAAACGCGGCGCAGCAGTGCCAAAAAGCAAAATAAATTCTTGGAGGGGGCCTGTTTCCTGCCTGCAATACATTTGCTTGTTCCAAACAAATATATTTGTCAATACAACACAATTAGGGAGACTGAGCCAATGAGGCCGTCACTCACCCAGGGAGGCAGAACGTGGCTCCCACACGCCCCGGGGCCACGCAAGGCCTGAGTGTGTCAGGCCGAGCCAGGTGCCCCCTGGGCAAGCCCTGCGTTTCCCTCCAGGACAAATGTCTCATCTCCGCTAGGTCCTGAGCCAGTCCAGCCTCTTTTTGTTCTGCTCAGAGTTACTCATAACCCTTGAAGCACTCACCCCCGACCCCAAATCTTTTATGTTAATTTGCTGCTGCTTTTTCATCATCTCTCTTTTTTTTTTTTTCTCCCAACAGCTAGAAACGACTGCTGACATACACAGTTTTCAGAACGAGAGCCTGCCAAATGGGGCTAATAATTCGTTTTGATGATAACGGCTACCATTTATTGGGTGGATGCCAGGCATTTCGCAGTCACGGTTTCTCCTGATCCACACAGCAGGCTGGGGGCTGTGCATGTCTAGTTCCATTTCATAGATGAGAAAACTGAGGCCCAGAAGGGTCAAATGGCTTGCAGGAGGCCAGTTAGTGAGTGGCTGAGCTGAGACTCAAACCCTGGTCTTTCTAACACTTGGGTTTGCGTTGGGACTATTGGTGTTAACTCAGCCTGGCTTTAAACAATAAGGGGATTAAATGGCCTTTGTGAGTTGATAACTGAGAGTAGGCTTCAGGCAAGGCTTGATCCAGCCTTTTTTTTTTTTTTTTTTTTTAACTAATCTTTGTAGGCCAGGATTAATCCAGCCACTAGAATGCTGTCTTCAAGGACCTGGCTTCTCTCTGCTGTGCCTGCTTTCATTCTTAGGCTCCACATTATTGGGTTCTATAGACCGCAGCTCTGAGCTCTCCCTTCATGAAAGAAAATAACTCCAGCAGCCACCTCTTTTAAATTCTCAAGCCACATCAGCCTTAGGAAACACCCATGGAAGAGAGAGGAAATTCTACCCTCGAACTCTTGGTGTCCCATTTGTTTGGGTTACGTTGGGTGCCCATGCGTGAACCGCAGCACCTGGCTGAAGGACAGGACCTGACATGCTGGTCGGTTTAGGCTGGTCAGGGCCCTCCCTGGAGCTGGGGTTGTCATCCGTCTCACGAAAGCCTCGTGGCTGAGCAGTGGGGGGAGCGGGGATGCTAGAGCAGACCCGGGTGCTGTCACCAGAGAGGGGAACGGGCTGGCAGAGGGGGCGACTTAAATAGCTAACCAGCTGGCCTGGCGCGGACGCTGACCGATCAGAACAGGTGCCGGCCACGAAGACCTGTCGGCCGTTTGCTGCACCAAGTGGCTCCTTAGACAGCAGCCTCGGATCGTTTGGGAGCTTGTTGGGAATGCAGAATCTCCGGACCCAGTACGCAGCGTCTCCCAACATGCCGAATCAGAATCTGCATTTGAACAAGCTCTCTGCACCTTTGCCAAGATCCAGCAAGGCCTGGGCAGCACCGATTTAGCAGGGCGAGGTGGCGGAAAGGGCAGGTTCCTGTGTCAACGCACGCGCTGCAATTCACACTCCGGCACTTACCGGCCTGGCGACGTTGGGCGCGGGATAACGCCACCACCGTCCCAAAATTGCCAAGGTGGGGGGGAAGGAAAACCATTACAGAGCACCCGGCTCCTGGTGGGTGCTTGATAAACGCACCTCCCTTCTCCCCATCCCAAATGTTTACAACGGGGGAACCTGTCTTAGTCCATTTTCTGTTGCTATAACCGAATCCCTGAGACTGGGTAATTTATAAAGAAAAGAAATTTATTTCTTATAGTTCTGGAGGCTGGAAGTCCACAGTCAAGGAGCAACACCTGGTTGGGTGGCGTCTTGCTGGTGGGGACTCTCTGCAAGTCCCAAAGGCAGCCCAGGGTGTCACACGGCTCATGAGACACAGCCAAACTGATTTTTTTTTTTTTTTTTTCCCCTCAATGCGCTCTCGACAACTCAGAGCCTTGTCTCAGCGTCCGCTCGGGGCAGGTGGAGGAGAAAGACGGCTGTGGGAACGGCCACCCCATTAAGCGGCCCTGCTCTCCCTTCCTGGTCACCGCTTAAGGCCACGTGCTGGGGCGAGTTCCAAGCTAAGTGGACCAGTGGCCTTCCTCCAAGACCAAATGGGAAACCTGGAGACCCCCGGCAAACTGCGCTAGCGTCTCAGGCAGAAGAAGATGACACCATCGATGATGATGAAGACAGCAGCTGACAAGAGGAAGAAAATGGCATTAACGGTGTCAATGGGAATTCCTTGGGGGCACAGCAGCGGGAAGGCGCCAGGCTGGTGGATCTGCCCCCCGCAACGTGGCAGGGAGCACCCGCTGTCCCTCCCCACCGGGCCACGAAAGGCCAGCAGGCAGCGTTCTAGGGGCCGCAGAGGGGAGGGGAGGGACGGTGGCAGGCCGGGTTGGGGCACATGGCCCCTCCCAGGGACCCCTCGAGTCTTCCGGGGAGCCTGCCACACCTCGCAACCCCGCAGGCGGCAGGATTTCTTGCGAAACGGGCGACCGGGCCAGGGTCCCGTGCAGCCCCGGGCGGAGCCGGGGCAGCGGACCCAGGCACGGAGAAGCAAGGTGGCGCCCTGCTGAGACTGCTCGGGGAGGGGCCGCGTCACGCGGGCTGGGACGCAGGGGTCTGAGGCACATTCACCCAGACTCGGAGGGACAGAGCAGCACAGAGCAGCGTTGGTCATTTGTGGCTGCCGCGTCCCCCAGGAGCCCTGTCCTCCACCTTGGGTAACTTTCTGCATTTTGAGTCTGGCCTCATCGCGACCAAAGGAAGAAGGCACACGTCGCTGGGCTCCCTGGCGGGCTGGAACCTAACCCACGAGGTCCTGCAAATCCATGCACGCATGGGCGGGAGCCTAGAATGCAGAAGTGGCCACACTGAGGGAACTGGAACCAAGCATGGTGGCCCGAGGGATTCTGCCTCAGGTGTAGGTCATGGAGCTCTGAGTTCGAGTTCCGTGTGTTGAGGAGCTTCTGCCGTGGCAGAAGAGCAGTGATTTCTCAGACGTCCCACAGTGTCCTTCCATGCTCTTTCCAGGGTTGCCAAGAGTGATCTGATCTCTGATAAATTTCTTTTTTTTTTTGGTCCAGGTCTGGATGG